CCCCGGTAGCTCTGCCCGCCAGGCCGGGCCGTGCCCGCAGAGCGCGGGGTGAAATGCGCTTCGTGCCCTAACGCGACCCGCAGCCGGCGTGGGCACGGTGTGACTCCGACTTCTGTCCCGGTGGCAGCACTGAACGGCAGCCCGATGTGTGTTGCAGTAGTGGGCAGCATTCCAGTAACGTTGAGCGGGCAGGCGAGGGAACGGCGTCCGTGGGGGCTGTGCATCCTGTCTTGTCACTAAACGTATAAAACCCCTTTGTTTTTCACTAGCTCTTAGCTGGATGCGTGCTACTGTTGAAGGTTAAACTTTTAGAACCATGTAGCAGTATTATGCATAGGTCAAGAAAGACGTTCTTTGTAGATGTTAAAGCCAAAGGCATCCCTAATCAGAAGAGCAAGTAGATACCGGTCTTTGAGCAAGGACATCCCAGAGCCATTAGACCTTGCAAAGGGTACATTGCCAACTTGGCAAGCAGGCTCAAGGTCCAAAATCGAGCAAACTCAATAGTCCAAACTGTGTATCCTTAGCTGAACCACCTTCATCATAATACTAAGAATCATGCCTATAAGTCAAGAAGACCCTCACCCAGGTGAAGACCCTTCCCCTGAGCATGTGTAGTAGTGGAAGTATTGTGTTGGCATTATTATAATTGTATGTAAATTACTAACCAATCATCTCAGAGAGGATGGATTTGCAAAATTACTAACTCCACAAGTTTTGTGTACAAATATAGCACAAAACATCTTGTTGGTGTGCATGATTTGTGGGAAACCACTGAGCACCTAGGCTTCTGCAGCCCATAAATAAATAAGCAATGTCTCTCCCGAGGGTGTGATTATTGACCTATTGCACACTGGGTGACAAATCCACTTTTCGGACAACACTACCAGAAGTTTATTATTACATCAGAAAATGACAAATGACAACAGTAATTTTGCCTTAAGAGTTGGTCCCACAGAGCAAGCTGCTTCGTGACAGCAGCTGTGTCTCCCACTTAAATCAGAGCACCACAGTGCCATTGGTGCTGAACAGATCCAACTTTCAGACAGAACTTAGAAAGCACCTGCTTGCTGTCGACAGAACTGTTCCACCTGGCACTGGCAGCTGGGACTCCAGCCTGTCTCTGGAGCCAGGCTGCTGAAGCACTGGGAACTCCTGCACATTGAATACCACATTTTTACTTTTGTTACTTCTCAGTGCTCCCTAGTTTTGTTTTTTGGAGGCTTTATACAGCTTGGTCACTAGTATTTAAGTGTAAATACTTAAGGTAGGAAGGAAGCTATAATATCAAATTCCATTCCTGTTTTTTTTCCTGAACATAAAGTTTTCTTAAAAACTAATAAAATCAGTATCTTGATTTTACTATATAGTTAATGTGGCACCTCCCCTTTGACTCTTGTTGACCTGACACATTGCTAACTTAAATGAGAATGCATCACTGACTGCAGCAATACTGATTTCTCCAAAGTCTGAGAGACTGTAATGGAAGTAACTATGCACTGTATTCCATATAATAAAATACAGACAGACAAGTCTAAATTCAAGACCCGTGTGACTGCAGGAAAAGCAAGGTCTTGTGTCCAGCCAGGAGCATAGGAAGTACCAGGACAAAATAACAATAATTTAGAATCAGAATTAACACAAAAAATATTCATTTCATATTCATACAAAATTTTTTTAAGTGACTGAAACAGATAGGGCATTGAAGGAATATTTGGTCAAGGCCAAACTTGAGTGTTTTTTTTGTTCCCGGTATTTTATTTCCTAAACATGGTGACAACATAATTAAAATATCAACGGCACCCTGACTAAGGTGATGTCTTAAGTTAACAGATGTACAAAAGAAATTTAGTTACAGCTAAAGGAATTTTAGCACATTCCTACATGCCTGGCTTTTCTTCTTTTAACACACTAATGACTTTTAGGTAAGCGAATACTGAGAGGCATTAAAATCGATACTTCCCTCAGGAAAGAAACAAAACAAAACAAAAACTGGGAAGAAAGAGCGTAAGAACTGTTTCTTTAGAAGAACTGTACAGGTATTTATCAACCATATGCAATATGATTCTCCTTGACATTACTTTTGTACAGTATAATTGCATGGAACAGATTATCCACTGGGGAAGTCTGATAAGGACACATTAGCATAGACCTAAGATTCTCTTTCTGTAGGCTAACTCATTTGGGCATCCATCTGTTTTCTCTTTTGTCTGATGAGTTTCACTTATAACTTAAGATAATGTTAACATATTCTTCCTCTACTTGATTATATATAAATGTCTTTAACATAGGGTTTAAAGAAATCCAGTGTATTTTACTTGTTACCTTTTTCCATTATTGTGGCAACTTTTGTGATCAGTGACTTACTGGTGTAATGTCAGTAGTATCTTCCAACAGAAGTTAGATTACATCTAAATAGCTTAGTCCTAAATTAGTTACTGGTGGGGAAAAAAAACACAAAACCAACCCAAAACAACAAAAACAAAATCCAGAAAGATAAAGGGGCAAGTGTTTATGTGGAATGGTAGAGGAAAAAGGGAAATGGACTGGGTAGACCTAGCAAGTTTCTTAAAACATAAGGCATAAATCTTATTTAAGGCACAAACCTTTGTTACATAAGTTCTTTCCAGAGAAGGTTGATAATGACATCTCAGGAGTGCCATAGTGTGGCGTTATAGGAATGTCTCTTAGGCTAAAGAAGTAATCCCTTTGGGAAGTGAAAAGCAGTGTCTTGAGAAAGCTATTTTATTACTAGCTGTGATTTATCTGACAAATCGTTGCAAGCTAAATGTTCTTCCATTTCTGAAACTCATTCGGGCTTATAAAACACATCACCTTTAAACAAGTAAACCTGGATATTCTCTCTCAATACCAGTATAAGGATGAAAAATAGGCCTTTCCAACAACCCAACATTATAACCAAGAAAACTGAGTTTAATAAAACCAAAATCCTTTTTTACTGTCAATTTGAAGCCTACATCTAGTCTGAACAGAAGACTTAAGTTTAAGCAATATTAAATATTAAATAGCTGAAAATCAAGGTTTTTGCTTTCTCCTGTAATTTTTCACCTGTACCTGGTATTGTATAAGACAATACCTCTGTATCTGTCTATAGGCTGTGAAAGACAGAAAATAGGTCATTGTGAGAGATGAAAAACAGGCCTGCGAGAAACACAGACTGAGAAAAACAGCCTGAGGAAGAGATAGATGCTCCCTCCAGGGGCATGGGAGGCACTCCAAGCTAAGGAATGCCTCGAACACTCGCAAGACAAAACTATAGTCACAAGGTGAATAGTGTGGAGGTTGAAACTGATAAGGCTGCCTGAATAACAGGACGCAGCTGGAGTGGAGAGCCCTGTGGAGACAGGATGGCTCTGCTCTGGTGCATCTGGTCCAATTTGAAGGGCCATCTCTCTGGTGAATGATCTTTGCTTCATTATCCACAAAATGCATATTAAAGTTAACACCCCTCACTATGCTAATGAAGGCTAACATGATCATGCTAATTACATCATCCCATGAAACACCTCTCCCCATCCATGGGATACGTAGCTATGTGGGTCAACCTAGGGGACAGACCCAAGGAGAGCGTGTATAAACCACGGGGAAGGAAAGAGGGGGGACCCCCGGATAGTGAAGTGGACGGATGCCTCCTGGAACCCTCACTGGTGGGATTGACACAGAAACCCAGACTGGTGATCTCTATTCCCTCTATCTCCCTCCTTTCCTTTTTTCCCCTTTTTCCTGCACTACCAATAAGAAATGCAAGGCATACTGTATTGTTGCTACAACTCACTGTATACTTAGCCAATCATCATGTGTCCAATTAGTACACTGTGAGTAGTTAATAAATGTTTGGGTTTTGAGACTTGTCATTGTCCGCTCCATTGGGGATTTACGAATCTGAGTCACTTGTCTCTGTCATCTGAGCAAGACATGACAGTCATTTGACTACTTTGATTAATCACACTATGAGATAGTTTATTTTTCCTCTGCTGAACAAGGGAAAAACTTCTCTTGAGAGATAGTACTAACTCCACTGACTCATGATTTTGTGTTATCAGTTAGATGAGATACTCATTAAATTCTTCATCCATTTGTTACATTGAACATATAGATTCCCAAATACACAAATAAAACACTAGACAGTAACTTTATGGAAAGATGCATATATATATATATATATGCATGTAGTTTAGTCAGTACAAAACTACAGCCATAAAGTACATACATTCATTGGAGTATCGATACATATGTAAGTCTTGTAGTTAGTGCAAATGCCCATATTTTACCTCAAATTTTCTACTAGAAAAAAATGGTTACAATAACCATACATGGTGATCCTAACTGAAAGTAACAACAGAGCTAAATCAATAAAAAGCTATAGGTGTTGATATTTCAGGTGACGACCACATTTGTGATGTGCGACTTGGAATTTCTT